CACTGGCGCCTGGATCTCTAAGGAGGTGCTAATCTAGCCTCTTCCTGAGGCTATCCAGCAGGAACTCAGCTGTGAAGCAATGTGAGTTGCCCTGGGGCCTTGGGCCAGCTGCAGTTTGTTAGATAATTTTCAGATTGCAAAGGGCCAGGCCTTTCATATGCAAAAGCTGGCACACAGCTTGGGCGGGGTGGGGGTCCCAGGGGATCAACAGGGTGGAACAAGCAGCTATGGCTGCCTTCAGAGGCCCCGTTTCTCAGTGTCCCTGCAATCGCTGCAAGCACCTCCAAAAGAAAGCTGCCCTGGAGTTCCGACTGATGCCAGACAGTCCAGTTTCTCCCGTATGAGTCTGCGTCCCCAGAGACTCACCCTGAACTGGAGCTCAGAGCTAGAGACTTCCTACCAATTGAAATAGACAACCATGTCCTCAGCCGCCAGCCCACTCCGCATGCGCCTCCATACCTCTGTACTTCACTTCCGCATCGCACCTCCTCTGAGTCTCGGTATGCTTTTCTCTTTCCTTCTGGTTGTACAATTTCCACTCAGCCAGCCTTCCTATTGTTCTGGATGATGTCTGTTTTGTCTTTTAGTTGTATTTTTTGAAGTGGTTATGCGAGGCAGCAATTTCAGGTGTTTACCTATGCTGCCATCTTGGTTTCTCAATCAATCCATAACAACATTTAACCAATATTTTTTGAATGCCTAATGTGAGCTGTTTTAAAGATTGGGGATGCCTGGCTGGTGTGGTTCAGTGGTTGAGTGTTGACCTATGAACCAGGAGATCATGGTTTGATTCCTAGTCAGGGCACATACACGGGTTGTGGGCTCAATTCCTAGTGGTGGTTGTGCAAGAGGCAGCCAATTGATGGTTCTCTCTCATCATTGATGTTTCTCTCTCTCTCTCTTCCTCTCTGCAATTAATAAAAATATATATATATGTATTTAAAAAATATAAAGATTGGGGACAAAATTGAAAAAGAATAGTCCTCCCACCCACCTTTCTAAAGGTCCAAGTCTTGAGGGCCTATTTTATTTAGGGTGCTGTGCAAACCTCTGTGACAGAGGCCCCCAGAGTAGAATCAGTGGAAATTTTTCTCCCACATTTGAGTCCCGAGGTGGACGCCCAGGCCTGCGGGATGGCTGTGCCATCCTAGCACCAGCTTGCTCTCTGGGTACAAGGGTAGCTTCTCGGGCTCACCATTTCCCCCACATCACAACCAGCAGGAAGGAAGATAAGGCAGTGCACACTCCTTTTAAGGGCACGACCAGGAAGTTGTACTTAATATTTTTGGTCTAAAAGAGTCTGGGTAACTGTAAGGAGGGTTGAAAAAATGTGGCCATGGGCTTAGGTAAAACACCATTTACTGTGGATAAAAGGGCAGATGGCTATTAGGGGCATTAAATGAGGACAAAGACCATAAACAGGCAATGGCTTTATACTGTGTAAGAAGGGAGAAAGGGGCATTTGTACAGAAGCAGCCAAGGCTGGAATAAAGAAAGAGATGGAGCCACAAAGAAAAGTGGGAATCAGAGACTTGAATAAGGAGAAGGGGTCAGTCAGGATCTGGAAAAAGGGCATGTGAAGTGAGAGTAATAATTACCAAGCCCTTTAAGTGAGAGAGAAGTTAACCTCAGCTACGAACTGGCCGAAGGTCAGCAAGGCTGGAGTTGAATGAGCCAAGCAGTGAGGTGTCAGAGATGCAGACAGAGCAGCCAACAAAGGCAGCATCATGAAGGCCCCTGCAGGCAGTGGGAAGAGTCTGCATTTTGTTCTAGCTGCAATGGGAAGCCATGCTGGTGATTTTAGGCAAAGGAGACATCATTTAGTCCACAATTTAAAAAATGACTTCGGGTGCTTTGTGAGGAATGGGAAGGGTGTACAGAAGTCTAAGAAGAAAATCAGCCCAGATGGCGGCGTGGCTCAGTGGTTGAGTGTCCACCAGAAGGTCACGGTTTGATTCCCAGTCAGGGCACATGCCCAGTTTGTGGGCTCAATCCCTAGTGTGGGGAGTGCAAGAGGCAGCTGACCAATGATTCTCTCTCATCATTAATGTTTCTATCTCCCTCTCCCTCTCCCTTCTTCTCTGAAACCAATAAAAATATATATTTTTAAAAAAAGACTTGGGGCTTATGGAATGCAAACATGCAGAAAACCAGGCACTGGAAAGAAGTCTGTAGGAGTTCAAAACCATACCTTTCCCAACGAGTATTCTGAAACTTTGACTTTATTTCTTGACGTGTTGCTAAGACACAGTTCGCCTGTCCACCCTTGACCCATGCCTCCCACCAGATGTTCAAGCCGCCTCCAAATTACAACCTACCCATCTCATCTGAGGACCAACAACAGAGAAAAATCAAGTTCCTTATCTTGTCCTGGTGCAAAGCCTGTCCCAGCCCGTGTGTGTCCTCATTTGTTCAGCTCTTTGCAGTCCTTAAAACTCTCTCATTTAGAAGGGATTTGGCTTTATCTTTGTACAGTCAAAAGGTCCACTGAAGGTTTCCAGTCACTCCCCTCCCTTCCCCCCTCCCCAAAAAATATTCACCTGCCTTCAGAGACAGTTAGTGAAATAGAAAGATGCTGCAAGGTTTCAAAAAAGTTAGAATTCTGCTGCAGACAGAGCACCCTTTCCATATAACATAGTTTTGTTGGTTCATTCAGGGGACGGATTAGTCATATTGTGTTGTGTGGGAGCCTTCGGTATATATTAAGACCATCACTAAATAAATAGACTTTCATTTTCAGGGTTTTGTTGTTGTTACGTGCTTTACTTTGTGACGGAGGCTCATATCAGTGAGGCCTGGACTTCAGTGGCAATAAGGGAAACGACGCTAATAGTAGTGACTCCTTGCACTGGATGTAGGAACTCTGCTTCATGACTTTCCAAACTGTTTTTTGCTATTTTGGACATTAGCCAGTGTCAGTTCTTATTACATGAATATTTCAAAGGCCCTACCGAAAAACGACTTTTAGAACATAGGAATTAATATGCTGTTAAACAAACCACCGTACCTTCACTATACTACACATCAGATACTGAGGTAAAGATATTTACTAAATTAAAAACCACCAGAGGGCAGCTTAATACAATAGTGACTGAATCCTTAAAAAATAATCCCAATAAGTTAGATAACTATAAATATAGAGAAAAGAGAATGACAAGAGACATTTAATATTTTAAAATTTTGCTTATGATAAGTGTTTCTGAGTTTGGCATATTTGGTACACTTTTTAAGTTGATCTTCAAATACAAATGTGAATTAAAATTATGCACCCCCCCCTTTTTTTTGAAAGTGACAAAATTAAGCGAGAGATCAAGCAACTTTGGCCAATTGTTACATATATTTATTGTTACATATACTTTTATTGATTTCAGAGAGGAAAGGAGAAGGAGGGAGAGATAGAAACATCAATGATGAGAGAGCCTCATTGATCAGCTGCCTCCTGCATGCCCCATACTGGGGATCGAGCCTGCAACCCAGGCATGTGCTCTGACCCGGAATCAAACCGTGACCTCCTGGTTCATAGGCTGACACTCAACCACAGAGCCATGCCAGCCGGGCCAATATTAAAAATTTTCCAATGTGACCTTAGATTCTCCCCTCTCTGTCGTGGCCAATGCTCCTCCAGTAAGAAGGAAGTGGCAGCCCTAGCTTGCGTCTTTCTAATTTAATAGAATTAAAAATGAAAATTAAGGTAGTAAAGATAACTCTCTTTAAAGTACTTTTCATAATTTTTCACAATCGCTGTATTAATTTCTTTGCTCTTTGTCTCTTCCTCTAGTTTGAAAGCTCCATGAAGTCAAGGTTAGGTACTTCAGGGACCTTGCCAAACACAGTGGCTAGCAGTAGGCTTTCGATAATTTCTAGTTGGCTGAATTAAGTAACTATAAATTCTTAAGGGACTAACACTTCTGGAGACCATTCCATGTTTTCATGTGCTCAATTTCCATCCATCCATCTATCCATCCCTCCCTCCCACAAATATCTAACCCTCAAAGGCAATCTTGAGAAAGGGCTGCATTCTCTTTGACAATTGAAGAAAATTTTTTTTATCAGTGAAGAATTCCCAGTTTAAAGACGCTTTCTTCTAGAATATGTAAAGATGCATGAGCAGTCTTTGTAATAGGGACCATCTTATAGTAAAGACTGATGGCCTTCCTCAATTGTGCTGTTTCCTTCGTACAGCTGGGGCTGCTGGTTAGAAACTACTTTTTGACAAACTGAAAGATGAAGCCTTTCTTCTTTCACAGGTTTTGTGTTATTTATTTTGTAATATGCCAGAGCATTTGGAGAAAATTTATTGCCACTCTT